TTCATGAGAGATTTCCTTCCAGGGATTTGGTGGATACATGAAAGCTGAATTCTGAATTTGGTCATGTACGTCTTCAACTTCATTAAATGGGAATGTGCCACTTAGGCTTACATAGATGATGACCCCAACAGACCACACATCTAGAGACCGATTGTAGCCCTTGTTCCTTAAGACAGGTGCCAGGTAAGCTGGGGTACCCACCACTAACCTCCGGAAAGACTTCTCTCCAATGATCGGGGCAAAACCAAAATCACAAAGTTTCACCTGTTGATAAAAGGGTTTGCAGAAATACTCAGTTCACAATTGTGTGTCTGTATCTCCTGGTTCAGATTCACTAGATACAACCATAATACTTTAAATACTTTCCCTTTACAGTAAATGATATGGATTACTTAAAGTAATAGGTAGTTTCCATTTTAGGTATTTGAAGATGGTGGCTTATTTAGTGATATAAAAGTATGTTTTCATTCATAAAAATATCACCTAAACAGTCCCCCTTGGCAGGGTGCAGTAGCTCATGCCTGTAATCCCAGCACTTTGGGAGGCTGAGGCAGGAGGATTGCTTGAGGACAGGAGCCCAAGACCAACTGGGGCAACATAGTGAGATCCCCATCTCTACAAAAAAAGTAAAAAATTAGCCTGGCATGGTGGTGTGTACCTGTAGTCCCAGCTATTTGGGAGGCTGAGGTGGGAGGATTGATTGAGCCTGGGAGGCAGAGGTTGCAGTGAGCTGAGACTGTGCCACTGTGCTCCAGCCTGGGGCGACAGAGTGAGACCCTGTCTCAAAAAATAAAATATGAAAACAATTAAGTCTCCCGTCTCCAAAAGCCGAGCAAATATGAAGGTAAGTGTACTCAGAAGTGGGTAGTGTTGTTTACACGGCAGGAAAACGTTATGCAAATCAGGAAAGTGATGACCACTCAAGGGCTTATTATGAGTAGAGGGTGAAGGATAAGTACAGAGATGTGTCATGTCATCTGCAATAATCCTCAAAATTACCTCTGCACTGGCACATATGTAGGCAGGACCAGAAGGTGTTAGAGAAGCAAGGCAGGACAGCCACCTCTATCAGGCCACTTCAGATCGAGGATTCCCTGTGGAGATATTTGGTTTTCCACTCTCTAAGGTGAGGAAAGAAAAAAAGCTTTGCCCTTGTCCTTGAGAACAACAATGAGGTTTAATATCTTGCCCATTAGTGAGCTGGTAACGTCTCTGGGACTCAAGTGTTGTCACCTATTGGCTACTCCTGGAAAAGCCAAAAGACAGAATGAGAAAGCACATTTGCATATAATTGAGGTAGGCATCACCAAAAAGCCCAAATAACAAGACCACAGTTCCAAAGATACAAGGAGGTAACAAATGGATGAAAATGAATACAAACACTTGAAACAAGTAAAGCTTTTAAGGGAAAAATAGAAGGTGACAAGATGCTACATGGAAGCTAGCAATGCTGTCAACTGGCTTTTTGCTGAGAGAGGCTGTTATACTTGCCTGAGGAAAAGGATCAGCTGATGCTAGCAACACATTTTCTGGTTTGAGGTCACAGCGAACAATATTTTTAAAATGAAGGTGCCGCAAAGCCACAAGTATCTATAAAGAAGAAAAATTGCCAAAATAATTTCATTCCAGCGTATGAATTTCAAAATGTCTTCTAACAGTTAAGAGGCCAAGAAAAAAAAACTGACAATGAACATTCAAACTTCTTTATATTCAAGACCACTGAAATGAGCTGGATTAACATAAGTTTCTAAAGAAATTTCAATGAAAAAATTACATATGATGGTATTCATATGGCAGCCAAGACAGATGTAGATAAAGGACCTATGAAATCTAACAGTGATACCCATTCTTAAATATTCCCAAAGAACGAAGACTAAGCCAATATACATTTTAAACTTTCGTGAAACGTTTGAATACATGGACCAGCAAACACGTTACTAATTTGGTACTCTGATTAATATAGATACAAATGGACTCTGATTAATATAGATATAAATCACATAACACAATAAAGCCACTACAACCTTTTCTAGTGTAGTTTAGACTGGAAGTAGGGACTAAACCACAAGGCCAGAAAGCTGTCGTTAAACAGTGATAACATTTGATATTAAACATTATATTTTTTTCTGTCTCTAATTGATTTCTTACCTGAGTAATTAAAAACTTCGTTATATGCTCTGGCAACCTGCCCTTTTCACTTGACAAGATCACCTCCACCATGTCTCCATGGAGTTTTTCCATAACAACAAACACTCTTTCAGGCGTCTCAAACATATACTCCAAATGTACAACACCAGGGTGATGAAGGTTCTATTAAAGATAAATAAAGCACTTGAAGAAACTGAGTTTTTTGATACTGTTTGGCAATCTTGCTGATTATACAAAACTGTTCAAGCTTAAAGCTACAGAGAAACCCACCCTTAAGATTTTTAACACCTCTACATTCCACATATGCTGCCTTGTATTTTTGAAACTCTTATGTCTCCAAAAAATACATCTTTACTTTCCATGCATAGCGAAATTATTTCTATGTGAAAAATCCAAGTTCTAGCACAGTGAATTGCTAATTAGGTTTTAATTAGAATACCATATTGAGAAATCTATAATTTATTAGGATCATTCCCAATATTAAACATATTGACCTAACTAAGCGTACTGGGCTATTTCTATACAACTGGTAGAAATCTAATGTAGTAAAGATGAAATTTATACAAGTAGTACATTGGGCTGTGCACTGATGAAGTACTTTAGTCAAAACCTTCTATAAATGTTCTGCTACTGGAGGCTGCAGTAGTTTTTGACAGAAGCTCTTATACTAAGTGAAGATCATAAAAACAGCAAAAAAAATATAAATATATATAGAAAGAGCCTTTGCTTTGTCCTATATACCATCCTAACTGCTTGCTTTTCAAGCACTCAATAAATATAGTTAATCCTTGAGAAGCACAAATTTGAACTGCATGGGTCCACTTACATG